AATGATGATGACAAATATGATGACGATGATGTTGATGATGATGATGATGATGATGATGATCACAATGATGATGATTTCCACAATAACACACACGTGAAGTTTAACTACATATACTGTAACACCACGTGGAAGTGACTGGGCTATCGGCCAACCCTGGCCTGTGTAGATACATGTGGAAGACAAAACTGATCCTGTCAGAATAATGTACAACCAGAATGAAAAAAAACAACTCCAGAAAATTACACCTATATTCAACCAGATAAAACTGTCCAACCCTTATTCAATATTGAAACATATTTTAGAATCACATTTTTTTATACACGTCAACTATTCATCTTCATGAAGCAAGATATGTGAAGTTGTTGCCAGGTAATCATGATATACACTTGAAAGGTGTCAAAAAAGATTGATTGAGTCTTGCATGGTTCACCATGATATCATTATGAAACCTGGCAGGTTCTTGCACACACAGCATGTGAGTGAGTGAGTGAGTGGGTGGGTGGGTGGGTGAGTGAGTGAGTGAGTGAGAGAGTGAGAGAGTGAGTGAGTGAGTGAGTGAGTGAGTGAGTGAGTGAGTGAGTGAGTGAGTGGGTGGGTGGGTGGGTGAGTGAGTGAGTGAGTGAGTGAGTGAGAGGGCGGGCGAGTGAGTGAGTGAGTGAGTGAGTGAGTGAGTGAGCGGGTGTGTGGGTGGGTTGTTTTATGCCATCTTTAAAAATATTCCAGCAAGATCACAGGAGGGACACCATAAATAGGCCTTACACATTTGGGGAATCGAAATAGAGCATTCGGCGTGACTAGCGAACGATGTAACTACTAGACTATCTTACTGCCCCTTAAATCATTCAAGAACAGTGTCTTGTAGAACAGTAGAAACAATTTGGTAGCACCGGCTAATGCCAAGAGACATGAACGACATACAGAAGACATTTCAATAATGGTGTTTGATATAGCCAAGGCAATATCTGTACATTAACTTTTATTTTAAGTCTCTGATGTTTTTTGGGACATTCCAACAAAACAAATTAAAAGATTTGAAAACTTTGAACAATTCCAGTGGACAAAACTTGGTAGAATATTGCAACACCTTTGACAGATCAAATCACATGACTAACACTGTGGCAGGTTGCTGATTCACAAACAGCAATTAACTCTGATTCAGCAATTAACTCTGATTCAGGAATCATTTACTACACAGTCTCCATTAGACACATCTGTAAGTAAAACCCACAGACGATGATTCAAGACACCCCCCAGCTCTGCCCAATATAACACTGAATCACACACTGTTCTCCACTGTTCCCTGAAGCAATGGCAGGTTTAGCCGTCACCGTGGTAATTAGTTGATGAAGCACTTATGATACCATCCTCGCCACTCCACTCAACTATTGTCTGTACCGACATAACAACATGATGAAAGTCACTGATAATTATTGGAGACCACGGCCACTGTCTCAGCAGATGGCAACTTGGAATGACAAGACATGTTGGCTGAATTCAGTTGTCTCCTGCTGTTTGTCAAAATACTAAAGCATCTTCTGGCAGAGATTTCTCAGTGAAAAATAATTGTTCTTTTCAATCTCTTGAATGTCACTTAGTACTGTGTGGTGTTTCACTTGTGTTTTGAGGTGGTTGGATTAGACCAGGTAATATCAATGTCTGCTGCTAATTACTCTTGGATATTTCCTCAATAATATCAACATACAATAAAATATGACAATCAATTGTAAAATTCCACATTTATATAAAAATCTGACTTTGAAAAACAATAACATTTTGACAAAATTTCACAGAATAACATATTGAAACTTCTTACTAAAACATGTTTATAATACTTTATTTCATTTTTAGATTAAATTTAGTCTATATGTAAAACAACCTCTAGATTTTTTAATTTTCTTTTTACATTTTTTATTTCCCAAATACTTGTACATATCCACCAATAAGTGTCAAGAAAAAATAATGCTTTGCTTACAAAACGCACACATACTCCAGAATTAGAAGTAATTTGTGATAATCGATTACTTCATATGGTAACAATTTGATTTATCTTTAAGCATGTCACTGGCCAAGTGTGTCTGGAGACAACACAAACTCTGAACATCTGATCCAGAAACAGGAGCCCTGCTTCACTATAAGACCAACAATTCCCCACCCCTACCTCCAGGCGTCCCCGGGGTGGAGTGAGTAACCTGCATGGTCCGCCTGATTGCCCGGGGGAGGACAGGACATCCGGACACCTTGAGTGTGGGAGACGATGGTAATGGGCCAATTATCTCACCTGCATTAGTGTATCTCACCTTTCTATCGCAAGAATCTCCGCAATTTGTCACGCTTTGATCTTACGCATTCTTGGGTAATGTGGGATTGTGTGATAATAAAGTGGGAAATATTTAAGTCATTGTTCCATCTGCTTCATCAATATTAGAAAATGAGTCTACATATAATATTACAATATATCTATGGAGTCAATGGTAGAAAGTGTCAACAGTCATGTTGATCTCAGCTTTGAAATTCAACTATTTTCTGTACCGACATGAGGACAGATTGACAATTATGAAACAAGTGACTAAATTCATACTATGTTTTTTAATATGCAATAATATATATATGTAATATTGAATTGAATTTCTAATTTAAAAATTGTCATAAAAGTTATCACAAAAGACAGAACAAAAGGTTTGTTAATCTGTAATAATGAATGGATGTAATATTGAACCAAATTTCTAATTTAAAAATTGAAATAAAAGTTATAACAAAAGCAAATACAGCCAAATATTTCAAGACAAATATTGTTGGTCTGGTCCAACATAATTTATTAAAAGTTTTCCACATTATTACACAATCAGTGTAGACAGTAGGCATTTAGTAATAATAACGACATGATATTGAATTTTTATCCCGCCGGACAGACAACTACTCATAGAGGAATCATGAAGCCTGATTTTGAGAAGTCTGCCAAACTCCTGCACATGTACCATAGTCACGATAATAAGCAGCCAGGGTGCTTACAACAAGTTAAATATATTGTCGGAGTTCGAGAACAAATTTGGTCTAAACATCACAAAAACTTAGACTGTTGGTAGTAGTTACCAGGCAACTACCAACATTCCCCTCCCACACATCTGTGCTTCCTGTACAGAAATTTGTAAACAACACAAGTATTTACAGACTGTCATGTAAATTCTGAAGCTTTGTAGAGGGCGCTTATTAGCATTACTAAAGACTGGTGTAGAAGTTGCTTAGGGGGAGCTTATTGAAACAGGGGACTTTAATATAGCAATTTCTGTAAGCACATTTCATTTCAGGTAGGGAGAAGTTAAATTCTCATCACACATCAAATATGGAATAGTGGAGACGAAACTAACTGACCAGTATGGGGGAGAAACAATAAATACCATTTGCCAAAAACTAATCTTTCTTAAAAATATTAATAAATGAATCTGTAATCGCTTAACTGTAATTCCTACAAATCATATTACCTTACAAAATTAACAATTAGCAAACATTTTGATCGAAATAATTTAAAATCATATAAATATCCCTATCTAAGAATAATTTAAACATTGATATTGAAAAAACCCACGCTTCTCTGAGAATCACATTAAAAAGGTTCGCCATATAATCGCCAACAACAAAAACAGAACCGTTCCATTTAACATTAGTTGTGAAGCAGATAGTATGAAAGACAGCCAAGTAAACCTATCAGAACACAAGGGTAATGTATTTACCCGAGCCAGTTCATCAGGTAGAAACTGTTCACAACAGCAGGCTACTAACAGGCAAATTTATTTCAATTCTGGAGTCCATTGTAGAACTCAAGTTGAGCATGCTTTCCATTCCAAACACAATAACATTGTGGCTGAGACTAATACCTGTTACCCAACGTTTCCGTCAAGTGTTTGAAAATACCATCAAGAATCCTTTTGTTTCCCCGGCTGGATGGCACTAGTTGTTTGTCTATTTGATTGGGCAACAGCAAGCTGTCATGGTGTCGAAATTGACACTGCTTGTACAGTCGTATATTTCATTAGTGGTCGACAATACCAAACTGTTTCATCTGTCTGACTTAATGCACATACATTTAACTCAATTCATGTTTTTCTATTGGGAGAATTTCTGAAACTGGAAAAACTGTCAGGAATGAGTTTGTTTTTGAGATATTAGTTTATTTGACTCAAACATCTTTTAACGTGCATATTTCTGAATTATTGATACTTTAGCAAAACGTTCAATAAATTCTCTATCAGTATTCGCTGTATTAAATGACATGGTCCAATAACCACTGCGCTCTAAAAAGCACTCCTAATCAACTTCTAGACCAGACTGCAAGTAATTTTTTTAAGTTCCTGATGCTTTGTATGATCTGTCTGTGGTGATTCCGGATTAGAATAGGTCCTCAGCAACCTATGCTGGTCTCCCTGTGGTGATTCCGGGTTAGAATAGGTCCTCAGCAACCTATGCTGGTCTCCCTGTGGTGATTCCGGGGTTAGAATAGGTCCTCAGCAACCTATGCTTGTCTTCCTGTGGGGATTCTGGGTAAGATAGGTCCTCAGCAACCTATGCTGGTCTCCCTGTGGTGATTCCAGGTTAGAATAGGTCCCCAGCAACCTATGCTGGTCTCCCTGTGGTGATTCCGGGTTAGAATAGGTCCTCAGCAACCTATGCTGGTCTCCCTGTGGTGATTCCAGGGTTAGAATAGGTCCCCAGCAACCTATGCTTGTCTTCCTGTGGGGATTCTGGGTTAGATAGGTCCTCAGCAACCTATGCTGGTCTCCCTGTGGTGATTCCAGGTTAGAATAGGTCCCCAGCAACCTATGCTGGTCTCCCTGTGGTGATTCCAGGTTAGAATAGGTCCTCAGCAACCTATGCTGGTCTCCCTGTGGTGATTCCGGGGTTAGAATAGGTCCCCAGCAACCTATGCTTGTCTTCCTGTGGGGATTCTGGGTTAGAATAGGTCCTCAGCAACCTGGTAAGGAGTTGCAGTTGTACTTAAAAGAAGGATGTCAGCTCAAGGTAAGTAGTTACAGTTGTACTTAAAAGAAGGAAGTCAGCTCCTGGTGAGGAGTTACAGTTGTATACAGTCTGTACATATGCATTCTGTCAAGTCACAAAACAACTTCCTTTGTTAACTGCTCTTTGTGCCGGTGTATTAATCTAAAATGTCCTCCACTTGCAGGAGTCACCCTGAATAGTCCGTAATCCCAGTGAGCTAGTACACAATAATGTAAAGACTGTTACTTGTAAAGCAGGTAGGAGAACTAGTGTTCATTGTCTCTGTTCCCGACCAGTTTGTTAAACATTTTGACTGAATGTCTTTGTAGATATACAACCATGCACACACATAACACACATGCAGACAGAAGTAACACACATAACACACATGCAGACAGAAGTAACACAGATGAACACACAAACGCACACCCACACTGCAGCACAGCTGCATATCCCAAGACCTGAATATTTCACAACTGTCTAAACTCCCAGCTGGGATGGGTGGTTTAAAAAAATCGCAACTCGTGAATCAGACAAAAATATCACAGAAGATGCTTCAAATATACAACACAAATATACACCTTTATGTCATCATTCAAAATGATATCTTCATGGTACAGATCCGACTGATCGTTATTCTCGTCTTGAGCTCAGCTTCCCTCGTGTATATCACACACATTTCGAAAGCTGAGGAACTCAAAGCCTTAAGCCATTAACAAAGATGAGGAAATATTCCCTCCCCTAGGTGGTCATCATTTTCGAAAATCAACGGCGATACATGTCAGTATCTAAACAATTATTAACAATTTTGATATGGAAATCAAACACAAACATATGTTGGTTTTCAAAGGAATGTCTAATGGCCACGTGAGATGAGGGGAGGGGACGAGGCTAGAATGCATGTGTGTACATTACATGCATAGTCCCAGCAGGGGCAGGTCTACACCTCGCAGTCGAAAGTGAACCCGTGGATCGCACTTCTATCAAGTAACCTGGCGGATAATATTTGGCAGTTGTCTCAACAATAAGAGGGCATCCTTTTCCTTAATCTGCGGGATGGGGATTCGGTGAAGTCTACGCTCCACACACGAGACATTAGACTATATAATGTAGTGGTTGTTTTTGCTTCCCTGCCGAACCCAGCTGAGCTCAGCGGAGGATGTCCATCTGCCAGCCTGGTGTTAGAATGTTCCCCGAGTCGTGTATTCTCCAGTGCCAGGGAATGTCGGTGGAAGAGAACAGGACACGACAAGAACAAGAACAAGAGCAAGAGTGAACCTCGTACACACATTAAATGTCTGCCAAGAGGTTTTTATCTGCTGTAAATTGATTATCTAGATCATGTTTACCAACACGCCATTTGTTGCAATTAAAATCCAGCCAGCAATGTTCCTCAGCGCCACAAACAAGTTTATTGGCTGCAAATAGACATCAGCGCTGGAAGAAGCACCTCAATAATCCTTTAAAATCGTACTTAGAGACGTTTTTACCGTTCTAGTCAAAAGACTGATTTTTGTTTAACATCTTCCTTGTTTTCTTCTCAAAGTCATTTGTCTATTTGTGAGAATTATTTTTTTGGGTTTTTCAATTATATCTAGGTGTGTCGAAGAAACACTACATAATTGATTATCATTAATTATTTGAACTTAACTCACATTTATTGCTGGGAAAACAAATTACTATTTATAACCTAAACAGCTTCTTCTAATGAGACAGCTACTAATGAATATGAAGACTTTGGGGAAACATTACTTAAGATGGTGGCCATTGATTGGCTCAGTGGCTTAAATATTACTGGAATAAAATAACCATCACTTGCAACAGTATGTCACCTTAATGTGGGAAGAAAACAAAAAGTGACCCACATCACAGATGTGTAACCCTGCGTGTAATTCCAGGTTAAATGATCAATTTAATATCAAACAGCTATAAATATTACGCAGGTGATTTTGAATTAACACATTAAATATGACATTTTAAAAAAAAAATCATATTTCTTTTATCCTTGTACAAAGGTGATCTCCCCTTGAATATCCGGGTTAGAATCGGTCTTCAGCAGTCCATGCTTGTGGTAAGAGGTGGAGTTGATGCATGTCATCGTATCCCATACTCAACTTTACACATGAGTAAGGGTGAAACGATACAGCAAGGTCACGATATGATACGCATCATGATACATAGGTAACAATATGATACATATCGCGATACATATCTTGACTAAAAATATTTCGGAGCATGTTCTACTGGAAAAGCTAGCTGTAGACACATGTTTGTAGCTGCTATTTATAGTTATGAACTTGGAATGGAAACACATTTTGCGATATTTGACTGACAAAAAAGCCAGGGGTCATTAAACAAGTAGGAAGGGATGTACTTTAGCAAGTGTATCGTCTTGTATCGATACAGAAGAAAACGTATCGTGTATCGCTTCGTTGCATGAAAACTTATAATGCACAGTACAGGTCCTCTGATGTATCGTTTGACCCCTAATTACGAATTCCTGTTACATATTGTAAATCACTGTTCAAGAACAGAACACTCCATTTCCAGGGTGGAATACAAATATCACTGCCATCATGTCCAGCAATTGTGTCCATGCTGTTGTGATCAACTCTTGTTATAACATTTGTAATAATATTCATTTATAAGTGTAGTCGTGCTGGCCATGACACAGAAGAACTTACTACACGAAATGCTTTACAACAAGGGAGTTTAATTATGATGTACCGTATTCGACGTAATAAGCGCCCAGGGCGCTCTCAAAATTGGAAATAGGGGGCTCTTATTAGAATATTATTTTGGTGGAAAAAACAGAGTTGAAAGATAAATTTCATGGTTTATGCTGACGGCCTGAACTGTTTATATATGACAGATATATTTTTCAAGAATTTAATTGCCCATAATTAAGAGTGCGTATTATACACGAATAAATAAGTCTTGTGTACTTTGATCAATCGGAAGGGGTGCTAATTGGGATTGTTCACTTGCCAATATATATTAGCAAATATCGCCGTGGGCGCTTATTAGAGCGGGGCGCTTATTACGTCGAATACGGTATCCATGTCACCTGACACTTGAGATCTGGAAATCTATAGCTTGGGCTTGATGGTTGCCTCCTAAATGTTATTTTCCACTCTGCCCCTTTCAAAATCTTACTCCAATATCATGTATCTTACACCATGTGTCCACACATTTTAACTGCTTGTGGGACGAAGATATAATTTGGGTACATTTCGCAACAAAGGATAAAAAACAGGTTGTGTGTTTCCATATTAGACAACATGGCACCATGGACGTCCATGAAGACACACAGAACAGCTGAATTAAAGAGGCAGGGGGTATAAAATCTGACATTTTACAACCATCACTGACAACAGCCAAGTCTGTGTTGTTTCAGGCTAATTAGATCAAAGTATGTCCGGTGCATTTTAATTACTCCAGAAGAATCATGTTGAACTGATTAAGTCTCCAAAAGCATACATTACCAATATTCTTCAAGTGCTATTTTCACCTGCTGTGTTTGACAAGCAGTTGGTTACATGGTTAGTGAGTCAGTTTGGGTATAACGCCAACAGTTTGTATTGTGTGTCAACTTTATTGAAGTGCTGCTAGCAATACTCTGGTTATATCACAACAGGTGCTTGAGTCTGGGCCAGACAAACATGTGCTTGACACATTGAGCAGCCACCCCATGCAGTGGTGATTCCCAGATAGAATTGGTCCCCAGTAACCTCTGCTTGTCGACAGCGGCATCGGTCCGGGGCACCAACTGATGATTGATGTCACTGTATCCTGACTGCATGGAGTTGCATGCCTTTGCCATATCAGGATTTGATGATCACAAGTTAATCAGGAAAGACAAAAGTGGCTATGGATTTAGGTACTTTGACTAAAGTAATCCTGAGTATTTAAATCAATTATGGCAATATATGTTTGTGTTAAAACATCGTGAAAAATATAGATCGTCATTTTGATAATAGAACAATGAATAACTTGATGCAGTGTTGCAGTAATTGTTGCAACAACACATAGAACATGGACGTTGAGAGATTCAAATCCACACACAAGTGTGTTTACATTACAGCTCACATGTTTTTTTCTATTTTGGCTTTCCAAATTTAATTTGGTTTCATATCCATTTTGATATGTACTAAGAGATGATAAATATTTTGCAATTAATTGAAATAGCCACGAGTTTCAAAACAATATAGATTTCACAAGGTGTATGTCATGCATGTGAGTGAGTGAGTGAGTGTGTGTGTGTGTGTGTGTGTGTGAGTGTGTGTGCGTGTGTGCGTGCGTGCGTGCGTGTGCGTGTTTGCGCTCGTACTAGTCAGGATTAGTGAGTGAGTGAGTGAGTGAGTGAGTGCCCTAAGCAGATGCTTAGTGCAACCACAAGACTGGTATGTGCTGACGGGCGACTAAGTGATTTACGTTACTTCACCAGTATCTGAGTCAGATGACGACATGCAGGCCTGATATGGTAGGAGGGCGGTCGGGTAGTCTAGTGGTTAAAGCGTTTGCTCGTCACGCCAAAGACCCGGGTTCAATTCCAGACATGGGTATAATGTGTGAAGCCCATTTCTGGTTTCCCCTGCCGTGATATTGCTAGAATATTGCTAAAAGTGGCATAAAACCATATTCACACATTCACTGATATGGTAGGAAAGTCCAGTGACATTGAGTGAGTGATATTGTTTTAAGGCTCTAATGCCAGGCATTGGCTGATATAACCAAGAATCACCACGTATGTGCGGGCATGGAGCTTACAAACCAAGCATCAGGGTATATGGGATTCAAACCAGAGAGAGTTGTGGTGCCTTAGACCATTGGACCACCCATGCCCCCCTAAAGACTAGAAGCAGGATCAATACTGCCATACTGAAGCTCAAACCCCGACATGAGAACAACACCACTAAACACCAAACACTACCAGACAAATCAATGCTGGTCCCAGCATTGGCTCACATTAGATTTATTTGTACAAGAAATGCACAAACGCTTCAACAGAATAAATTCTGTTTATCTTCATCTTGGAGCAAACAAACATCTAAAATGCCGTGAGTTACAAGATTAACTTATTTGCTGTACAACATTGATATTGATCCTGTGGTTAATGCACAGGCAAGACTTGAGGCCACAGTCAATTAATTACACCTTGGGTGAGATGAACACGTTTGCCTTAGAGCAATTAACAGAAATACAAATAACTAGCAACGGGAGGCACTGAGAAAACAGGGGAGACAATTGGTGACTGACTGAACTGATTGCTCATGAAGGAGTGAAACAGTGCAAGATCTGTGTGAGTGGGAATATACATTTGCAAGCTTACAGAGAGCAGGTGAGTGTGTGAAAGATGGTGTTGTGAGTGAGTGAGTGGGAGAGTGAGTGAGTGAGTGAGTGAGCAAGATAGATTGGAGTGAATGAGCAAATGAGTGAGTGGGTGGTTAGGTGGGTGGGTGGTTGAGTGAGTGAGTGACTGGGACATGTAGTGAATTGGTCGGTGAGTGAGTGTGAGTGAGTGAGTGAGTGAGTGGGTGGGTGGGTGAGTGAGTGAGTGAGACAGAGCTAGATCAACCTTGAGCTGTTGCATGGCTGATGTAGTGTGGGTCTCTGAGGGTCTGGTTCAGTGCTCACACTATCAGTCTCTGGTTTGTCTGGTCCAGGGTTGTTCACATCCAACACTAATCCAGTAGTAATTACAAGCTGACTGCAGAGAAAAATCTGGCTCACTATTTGTGGAGTATGTTGTAAACAACAAACAAACCAAACCAGCTAGATCAAGATAACTCTCCCAGCACTCAAACATCGGCCCCAGATTAATGTACAACACTATGATTTCAGTATTGTAGATTTTTCACAATTCAGCAATGATTTCCTTTACATTAAATCTCAAGATGGCCATTTTACACCAGTCAATGGCTCGGCTGTTAAACACAATACACCACACCACTCTCACTTCACCTTGTTCCTTGAAGGCCAAGTATGGACTTGTACAGTTAAGAATTTGTCCACAATATGCAATTTAAAATTTAAACCTATCAATTATGTTAAAAATGAATAATTCATAAGTTAAAGATATGAGGGTAGGTGTGTGACCTGTGCCTCAGTTGGTACAATGTACACAGATTGTTATTATAACAAAGAAAAGAACTCCTCATTTAATGGAATCCTTTTTGCATGCTTGAGAAATTTCAAAATATTATTCTGCCCTGACAAACAGTTTGTAAATGGGCGAGGGCAGTTCTACAGACAAGATGTGATTACAGTCTCCACAGAGACCCTACACAGTACATGTTCAACAGGATGAGTCTCACTGCCTTTTTTCAGAAGTAATTTTAATACAGGGTTTACAAAACGATGAATATGAATGTACACTATGTATGAAGAGCCCTTGTTGAAACTTAATTAAATTTGTAGGTATGTATACCGCTGGATTATGTCAGAGAGTGCAAAGAAAGCAAATATATATTTATCAAACATATGATGCTGCTATCATATCAATGGCTGATTGTTTCACAATGCGTCCAGAAATATTTCACCCTATCATGGTGGCACACAGCTGATTGCTTCATGGTGCTTCCAGCAATATTTCACAATATCATGGTGGCATACAGCTGATTGCTTTACGTTGCTTCCAGCAATATTCCACCCTATCATGGTGGCATACAGCTGATTGCTACATGGTGCTTCATGGTGCTTCCAGCAATATTTCACCCTATCATGGTGGCACACAGCCGATTGCTTTACAATGCTTCCAGCAATATTTCACCCTATCATGGTGGCATACAGCTGATTGCTACATGGTGCTTCCAGCAATATTCCACCCTATCATGGTGGCACACAGCTGATTGCTTTACGTTGCTTCCAGCAATATTTCACCCTATCATGGTGGCATACAGCCGATTGCTACATGGTGCTTCCAGCAATATTTCACCCTATCATGGTGGCATACAGCTGATTGCTTTACGTTGCTTCCAGCAATATTTCACCCTATCATGGTGGCATACAGCTGATTGGTTTACGTTGCTTCCAGCAATATTTCACCCTATCATGGTGGCATACAGCCGACTGCTTCATGGTGCTTCCAGCAATATTTCACCCTATCATGGTGGCATACAGCTGATTGCTTTACGTTGCTTCCAGCAATATTTCACCCTATCATGGTGGCATACAGCTGATTGCTTCATGGTGCTTCCAGCAATATTTCACCTTATCATGGTGGCATACAGCTGATTGCTTTACGTTGCTTCCAGCAATATTTCACCCTATCATGGTGGCACACAGCCGATTGCTTCATGGTGCTTCCAGCAATATTTCACCCTATCATGGTTGCACACAGCCGACTGCTTCATGGTGCTTCCAGCAATATTCCACCCTATCATGGTTGCACACAGCCGATTGCTTCATGGTGCTTCCAGCAATATTTCACCCTATCAAGGCAGCACACAGCTGATTGCTTCATGTTGCTTCATGGTGCTTCCAGCAATATTTCACCCTATCATGGTGGCATACAGCCGATTGCTTCATGGTGCTTCCAGCAATATTCCACCCTATCATGGTTGCACACAGCCGATTGCTTCATGGTGCTTCCAGCAATATTTCACCCTATCAAGGCAGCACACAGCTGATTGCTTCATGTTGCTTCATGGTGCTTCCAGCAATATTTCACCTTATCATGGTGGCACACAGCTGATTGCTTCATGGTGCTTCCGGCAATATTTCACCCTATCATGGTTGCACACAGCCGACTGCTTCATGGTGCTTCCAGCAATATTTCACCCTATCATGGTTGCACACAGCTGATTGCTTCATGGTGCTTCCAGCAATATTTCACCCTATCATGGTTGCACACAGCCGACTGCTTCATGGTGCTTCCAGCAATATTTCACCTTATCATGGTGGCTGCCACAGCCGATTGCTTAACGATGCTTCCAGAAATATTTTAACCCCTATCATGGTGGGACACAGTTATTGTTTTATGATGCTTGAGTGAGAGTTATGCCTCCAACTGTAAATATCATTTTGAGAATATTTTTTTCGAATGAAAATAGAACCAATCAAATCTTAAAGCCCTTCAAAATAAAGTTGAAAGCAAGACACCTGCCACAATTCAGCTGCTTCCAATGACATCAATCAGAGATTATCCATCCACAATTGAGACCAAATATGATTTGAAGTTACCAGAGGTTATCTAAGGGCTTTGGTGTTATTTATAGGAGACAACCCAAACCATGTGTTCAAACTGTGATTTTTTAGATACATGATTGACAACATTTTCTCAACTAATCATATTATTATCATCATCACCATCATCATCATCATCTTCATCATCATCGGACCCGTTAAGATTCCGGGATAGAATAGGTCTTCAGCAACCCATGCTTGCCGTGAAAAGTGACTATGCTTGTCGTAAAAGGCGACTAACGGGATCGGGTGGTCAGGCTCGCTGACTTGGTTGATGCATGTCATCAATCCCAATTGCGTGGATCGATGCTCATGATATTAATCACTGGATTGTCTGGTCCAGACTTGATTATTTACAGACCGCCGTCATATAGCTGGAATATTGCTGAGTGCCGCGTTAAACAACAAACCAACCAACCAACCAACCAAATCATCATCATCATCATCATTATTATTATTATTATTTTCCAAGCAACACCTGTAATTCCCAACAAACTTGACTGGATCTCTTGCATTAACCTACAGCCAGGGAACTAACTCTGTCTTCCTCTCGGGGTGATCTGACACGTGGGAGTCATCATCCTCGCTTCCCTCTCCACCAGCACCACCTACGACCTCTCACGTGTTTTCCCTAATGGCTGATTGTTGGCACCTGTGCATGCATGCACATGCATTGTCGGTGTAAGCACATGCATCGTCATTGTCAGTCGTCATCCTCCGGCCTTACCATACAGATATCATGAAATGATATCACAAGAAGTCATGGGCGGAATGTTACTTCTATGTTGCACATATCGCTCACCTTAAAACACATTAGCCTTTAGATGAAGCAGGTAGTGCCACTCATTGGGACTCTATGTAAAGGGCACTGCTACTCCGTAGCAAGTCTACAGATATATCCTGTGTCAAAGGACAAACTCAAGGTGTCCCATGTTTAAAACTGTAAAAAACTATTTATTTGGATCGTCTGATATGAAAATTACTGCAATATAATGATGAGCTTGCCTTGAAGTTTGGTAAGTATGAACACGGAATTAAAATATGTAAAAAATATGCTTATTTGTCCCATTTCAGAAGCGTTTTTCAGAACATTAGGCTAAAATCAACCCTCCTATGTTAACCGGATCATAGCAGAGTGGCCATGTCAATCTGCAAAACAGCTTCTTTATTGAGCCTTGCAATATTTCTTTTGTATTCATATCGTTATATCTAAAACACACAAATGCTGCAGCAAGCTTTCAATCCCTAAAGGAAACAACTTCCTTTTCTGTAAACCAAACTGTTAGGTTCCGCTCAACTTCATTCACAAACATCTGGACAAGTCATACTAACCACTTGGGATAAAAGGGGTCAAAAGCTCCATGGTAATAACAATTAAACTACAAGTCCAAATCTGTAAAACCCCTAGCCTCTGTGCCCTAGATTTGGATCTTTTATACAGACTTGACAAAAATAATATTATTCAACGTCCATTTTGTTATTGAACAATTGACAACAAAAATGTACAAACAAGTCCGGCCACCTCAAGGTGTGAGAGTGGGTGATTACAAACTGCCCATGTTGACAGAGAGCCAATCAGGAACGCTCCCCTTCATACAGACATATTTTCAATGAAAACATCCCAACTTGCGTCTATAGAAATACGACAATATCGTACAACTGGAACAGGTTCTGTTCAACATTGTTGTCACCCATGCAGTGGAGCTGAGGAATATGAATGATTTGTTTACTTGGTGTTGTGGTATATAATATTTCTGGGATGAAATAAACTGATAATAGACCCCTAATTAATGTCCTGAGAGTTATATTTACACAGTCGTGAATGGATGAACAGATGTATTCCAAGCAGGGAATAACTTGTTATTACACACTTTTCACCAACATCCTGTTGGGCCAAACACTTGCATCAATGAGCAGCCTCTAAACTAGGTGATTCAGAAACTTGTTGTCATGACAACATGGCTGACAGCATGAGAGAACAGATTCCACCATCAAGACATCTTGCAAACAAACCACCAGCCAATCACAATTGATGATGGACAGGATGTTTAATGTGGAACGTCTTTAGTATACCTTTGTATATCAGAGCATAAACTGATGACAAGGAATTCGCCAATTTGATATTATATTATTTTATCTTTAAGAATACACCCATTAATCAAAGATTATTAAATGTAAAATGTAGCTACTTGCAAAAGAAATTATGAAAGAATGTTTCTACCTTGACCATAAAGACTCAAAATTAAATGAAAGATGCAGTGAGAGATGCATCTTTTAAGTGAACATCAGTCATGGTTGTGAGGAGAACATCAGTCATGGCTGTGAGGAGAACGTCAGTCATGGCTATGAGGAGAACGTCAGTCATGGCTGTGAGGAGAACGTCAGTCATGGCTTTGAGGAGAACATCAGTCATGGATTTGAAGAGAACGTCAGTCATGGCTTTGAAGAGAACGTCAGTCATGGCTTTGAGGAGAACGTCAGTCATGGCTTTGAGGAAAATGTCAGTCATGGCTGTGAGAACATCAGTCATGGCTTTGAGGAGAACGTCAGTCATGGCTTTGAAGAGAACATCAGTTATGGCTTTGAGGAGAACGTCAGTCATGGCTTTGAGGAAAACGTCAGTCATGGCTGTGAGGAGAACGTCAGTCATGGCTGTGAGGAGATCCTCAGTCATGGCTTTGAGGAGAATGTCAGTCATGGCTTTGAAGAGAATGTCAGTCATGGCCTTGAAGATAATGTCAGTCATGGCCTTGAAGAGAATATCAGTCATGGCCTTGAAGAGAATGCCAGTCATGGCTTTGAATGAAACGTCAGTCATGGCTTTGAAGAGAATGTCAGTCATGGCTTTGAAGAGAATGTCAGTCATGGCCTTGAAGAGAATGTCAGTCATGGTTTTGAAGAAAATGCCAGTCAGGGTTTTGAAGGAAACGTCAAACTTGACTTTGAGGAGAATGTTAGTCGTATCATGACATATCAAGAGATGGGTTTAAACACGACTTTGAGGAGAATGTCAGTCGTATCATGACATATCAAGAGATGGGTTTAAACACGACTTTGAGGAGAATGTCAGTTGTATCTTGACATATCAAGAGATGGGTTTAAACACGACTTTGAGGAGAATGTCAGTTGTATCTTGACTCGTGACATGCCACAGGTCCTACATGTTCACAAGACCTAATGGCAAGGCGATGTAGGTGACAGACTAAGGACTATCACCGGGGCAAAATCTCAGTTTCTAACAGATCCTGGCAAATCAAAGGGAGGCAATTCAGGCATATGAAAAATACAGGGTGCTCCTCTAAGAAATCCACCTTTCAGCCAACAACTCGATTATGGACATCCGCTCATCAGATTTATATTTAACAAAATTTCTAAAACTAGTTCTTAAAAAAACATCTTTTTATAAATTTCCATCATCGCCCACCCACTTCTTTCCAAGTTTGTGTTAATGTGGGCCAGCTCCTTCTCATCACAATCACCTGTTGCTAATGGCAACACAAGAGATTCTGGTGCCACTGAAAGGGAGAAGCCCAGGAAGCAGGAACAGCTAACCAATACCTGGCGAACAAACACAGGGCACATCCTGACAGTGAATCTGGCAGTCTTCACACTGTGATAGAGTCAGCTTCAAGTTTGCCCTTACTTCAATAACCCTCTTTACCTCGATGAAATTTCAACAGAGTATTTCACATTAAAGTTCCTGTGGTGATATTTTCCTCAGAATGTTATAACTCCATACAAAACTGTGCCCAATTGTTATTTCTACAGTTAACATCTGCGTTGGTTCTCATAACAGAACAAGGTCTGGTTTGGGGGGTTGCCTTTTATTATATTTTTAACTTTGGAAGGGAAACACATTAAACCCCATTAAACCTGATGATACAGGGGGAGGCTGGGTTAACATCAGATTGAACATTAAATCAGTTGTGGGGACATCGGTATCGTGCAGGAGGAGATACAGGCTGAGGACCATAGCCACTCTGTAGACACCCATGACCTGTTGTGATGAAAGACCAATTTGACAACAGGGTCCTGTATTGACTTGGGGAAATAACGCTGCACATGTGAATTATGAGTATGTGACGTAGCCCAGTAGTTACTGTGCCCAGTCACTAGTAGATGGCCTGAGTTCTATTCTGGACCCAACCTATACAGATGCTTCTCTTGTCCATACCTCAGCATCAACTACCGCTCATTTCCACTGTCTCTCTGTTTAAATGAACAAATTCCCCAAGGAATCGGCTTTTCGCTGAGACACACTAACGTCTCCATTTAAACAACCAAGATCCTTACAACCAAAATAGAAAATCATGACTGACAAATAGTTGGTCATCAAACAAGCAGCATGTTATGGGCCGATTAGCCAACTGATGGCCAAGCTAAACCACAGCAAGATGGGAGCACTTAGACAGGATTGTCCCCCCTCGTCTGCCACTACTCAATGTCCTCAAGAACAGGTTGACTGAGGATTGCACTATGATTATCTGGTGATGACCTGAACGCATAACAGGTAAAAACATCCACCGTCGCATGATCAAAGTCATGGTGAAGTACCAGATCTCATCTTTGATGTCTGACATTATTTTTAGTAGTGTCTCCCCACACTGAAGTGAATCAGATATTAGGTTTCCTGGCCATTCAGCCAATATGTCATCGTTTTTCCACCTGACGGCATTCAACGCTTCACCTGTCTCACAGACAGAGACACAAGAGCCTCTCAAGGACTGGGTTTCAATTTGCATACCGATTTTGTTTATCAAACATTTTCGGGACAAAGGATCCACTGAGCTTCAAATTTGAGACCTGTGAATTTTTTTCTTTGGGATGACTTTATTCATGAGGTGTTAGAAAATGATTTATTACAAGTCCCAGTGTATCTTTGCTCCCCTGTGCTATACTAACAACCAGAGAGGGAAGCTGGGCAGCGGCCATTCAAGGCAGATTGACATCTTCATTGTTAATGGTCCATATCAACAAGACATTTTTTGTTAAAATATTTTGGAACGTTTCAGAATGGGCCATGGCCAAAAGGACAAAAACTTCAAACATCTTTTGAATTTGACAATGATTGTGTTTATGCAGCAATCTGTATATCATATGTATATTTGAACACCGATATATTACAAATACTTGACCCCCGTATTTTCAATTACACTCAACTGCCATCATTTGGTTCACTTTTGTCAGACTTGTGGCTGTTGTAGGAAGGAAATCTACATTAATGACACCAGCAGACACCACCAGCAGCATATTTCAGAATGATGATGATGATGATAATCAACTGACAAAAAATAAAAACACTAACATTAGAAAAGGATATTTGCAAGACACCAATGACAGACACCTCAGAATACAAAGGATATTTGCAAGAAATTAATGACAGATACCTCAGAATACAAAGGATACTTTCCAGACACCAATGACAGACAATTCAGAAAACAAAGGATACTTGCAAGACACCAATGACAAACACCTCAGAATACAAAGGACACTCGCAAGACACCAATGACAGACACCTTCAGAATACAAAGGACACTTGCAAGACACCAATGACAGACACCTCAGAGTACAAAGGATACTTGCAAGACACCAATGACAGACACCATCAGAATACAAAGGATACTTTCCAGACACCAATGACAGACACCTCAGAATACAAAGGACACTTGCAAGACACCAATGACAGACACCCTCAGAATACAAAGGACACTTGCAAGACACCAATGACAGACACCTCAGAATACAAAGGACACTTGCAAGACACCAATGACAGACACCTCAGAATACAAAGGACACTTGCAAGACACCAATGACAGACACCTCAGAATACAAAGGACACTTGCAAGACACCAATGACAGACACCTCAGAATACAAAGGACACTTGCAAGACACCAATGACAGACACCTCAGAATACAAAGGACACTTGCAAGACACCAATGACAGACACCTCAGAATACAAAGGACACTTGCAAGACACCAATGACAGACACCTCAGAATACAAAGGACACCTGCAAGACAACAATGACAGACACCTTAAAATACAAAGGATACTTTCCAGACACCAATGACAGACACCCTCAGAATACAAAGGATACTTTCCAGACACCAATGAGCGACACCTCAAAATACAAAGGATACTTTCCAGACACCAATGACAGACACCCTCAGAATACAAAGGACACTTGCAAGACACCAATGACAGACACCTTCAGAATACAAAGGACACTTGCAAGACACCAATGACAGACACCCTCAGAATACAATGGATATTTGCAAGAAATTAATGACAGATACCACAGAATACAAAGGACACTTGCAAGACACCAATGACAGACACCTCAAAATACAAAGGATACTTGCAAGACACCAATGACAGACACCTCAAAATACAAGGATACTTTCCAGACACCAATGACAGACACCCTCAGAATACAAAGGATACTTGCAAGACACCAATGACAGACACCCTCAAAATACAAAGGACACTTGCAAGACACCAATGACAGACACCTCAGAATACAAAGGACACTCGCAAGACACCAATGACAGACACCTTCAGAATACAAAGGACACTTGCAAGACACCAATGACAGACACCCTCAGAATACAAAGGATACTTTCCAGACACCAATGACAGACACCTTCAGAATACAAAGGACACTTTCCAGACACCAATGACAGACACCTCAGAATACAAAGGACACTTGCAAGGCACCAATGACAGACATCCTCAGAATACAAAGGACACTTGCAAGACACCAATGACAGACACCTCAGAATACAAAGGACACTTGCAAGATACCAATGACAGACACCTTCAGAATACAAAGCACACTTGCAAGCCACCAATGACAGACACCTCAGAATACAAAGGATACTTTCCAGACACCAATGACAGACACCCTCAGAATACAAAGGATACTTTCCAGACACCAATGACAGACACCTCAAAATACAAAGGACACTTGCAAGACACCAATGACAGACACCCTCAGAATACAAAGGACACTTGCAAGACACCAATGACAGACACCTTCCAAATACAAAGGACACTTGCAAGAAAATAATGATAGACAACCCAATAGTCGCAAGGACATTAGGATGGGAGACCAGTGTCTTGGGCAATAAAATGGTAATATTTCTCTGTAATGGCCCCTCAGCTCCTTCTGCAACAGCTGGTACTAGGCAGTTGGTGTGGACATCATCATTGAAGGCTTACGATTGTTTCCCCTTTTTGCACAGCAGATATCTCATCTGTCCATGGTCATCTGGACCTCGGATGTCATGCAGGGGGCCTACATTAGACTGTATGTGGATGCCCTCTCTATTCATTTCACAAGCTTGGACCTTAGCAGGACATTGATTAAATGTGTTAAATAAGTGATTTCAGGTTTATGTCGCTGAGTGAGTGAGTGGGAGAGTGAGTGGGAGAGTGAATGGGAGAGTGAGTGAGTGAGTGAGTGAGTGAGTGAGTGAGTGGTTGGGTGGGGCTTAACATTATATATTATAACAATACCCAGTGGTCAATGACGGGAGCTTCCAACCCCTGTGGAATTATTTCATCACCAATCCACGTGGCATCCAACCCCCTCCCAGCAGCAGTGGGACTCTACGATAAACAACTACAGAGACTCTGCAGAGAAGATCACAGGGAATTCAGTTAACACTGTTGGGGTAGAATTTCAATTTTCTCCAGGTCAAAGGTGAATCCTAACTGAAAAGGTAAAGTGCAAAACACCAGCTGTCTGAAACATGGCCGTCCTCTCGTCTCAATGAGGGGCCCTTGTCAGCTGATCTGGAACC